CAAACTAAACTAGTACTAACCCAGGACTAAACCTAGAATTAAACCAGGACTAAACCAAGACTAAACAAGGACTAAATCTGGAACTAAACCAGGTCTAAACCAGAACTAAACTAGGACTAAACCAAGAATAAATCTGGAACTAAACCAGGACTAAACCAAGATTCAACTGAAACTACACCAAGACTACGCCAGGACTAAATCTGGAACTAAACCAAGACTAGACCAGGACTAAATCTGGAACTAAACCAAGACTAGACCAGGACTAAATCTATAACTAAAATAGAAGTAACCCAGGACTAAATCTAGAACTTAACCAGGACTAAACCGAGATTCAACTGAAACTACACCAAGACTACGCCAGGACTAAATCTGGAACTAAACCAAGACTAGACCAGGACTAAATCTGGATCTAAACCAAGATTGGACCAAACTAAACTAGTACTAACCCAGGACTAAACCTAGAATTAAACCAGGACTAAACCAAGACTAAACAAGGACTAAATCTGGAACTAAACCAGAACTAAGTGTAAATGCATCGTAAATGTGGAACTAAACCTCCCTCTCCCCAGACACCTCTTCCAGCATCCCCCTCTCCAGACTAAAAAATGGACTAAACTAGACTCAAACCAGGACCAAATCATAATGAGTGTAAATGCGTCCTCAATGTGGAACTAAACCTCCCTCTCCCCAGACACTTCCTCCGTACCCTAGCTCTCCTTTCTCTCCGTTTTCTCCCTTGGGTCCCGTCGCTCCGCCTCTTCCGGGCTCTCCGCTCTCTCCTCGTTTCCCCGTAGCTCCTACAGGCCCTGGCTCGCCCACCATTCCCTTCTGGCCCCAGGACCTGCTGCTTGCTAAACCTGGGCACATAAATACAATATTAACTAATTATTAATACAAGGAATACAATCAAAATGTGTTTACGAATCTCCTTCTTGTCTTCCTCTCACATGGACTGCTCTGGGGATTTTTTTTACTTTTTTTTTTTTTTTGTAATTTAATACTCCCTACAACTGTACAACAACTCACCCTTATGTAACAGATAATACTCCCTACAACTGTACAACAACTCACCTTATGTAACAGATAATACTCCCTACAACTGTACAACAACTCACCTTATGTAACAGATAATACTCCCTACAACTGTACAACAACTCACCTTATGTAAACAGATAATACTCCCTACAACTGTACAACAACTCACCTTATGTAACAGATAATACTCCCTACAACTGTACAACAACTGTATGTATTAATACTCCCTACAACTGTACAACAACTCACCTTATGTAACAGATAATACTCCCTACAACTGTACAACTCACCCTTATGTAACAGATAATACTCCCTACAACTGTACAACAAACTCACCTTATGTAACAGATAATACTCCCTACAACTGTACAACAACTCACCTTATGTAACAGATAATACTCCCTACAACTGTACAACAACACCCCTTATGTAACAGATAATACTCCCTACAACTGTACAACAACTCAAACAGATAATACTCCCTACAACTGTACAACAACTCACCTTATGTAACAGATAATACTCCCTACAACTGTACAACAACTCACCCTTATGTAACAGATAATACTCCCTACAACTGTACAACAACTCACCCTTATGCAGATTATTAATTATTGTATATTTTATTTTATGTCTGTCATTCATTTGTGGTTTATCAAATGTATATATCACGATATGTTACTGGATACGCCAGCACATGTCTCCCGAGCCAGGAGGACAGGAAGAGCCAACCAGAGCAGGACGAGAGCGCCGCAGGACATGGTCGAACCTGACCAAGACAAAGAGTCTGCCTTAAATGTTAGTTTGGTGTGAAAAACCTTAAATAACTTATAATTTATCTTGTTTTAATCCTGTTTGATGAGAATGTTTTCTTCTTCCCACTCCTTTCTGGGTAATTTTTTTTGTAGTGGTTATTTCTTTTATGATTTCACTAATGTGATATGTTCCATTGTATAAGACTATAAATCTCTTACTTACTGAAAATAAATACAAAAATAAAATAAATGGATACTTTGCAGTGACATCACGGTAGGGCTATTCTGCATGTATGTCTTTGGGGGAATGTTCAGCAATTGAGACACAGTGGACTATGCTTTAGCAAACACAGCTAAAAGGTTTTTAAATAGTCAATAAACCTCAATAAAGTCTGAGCGATCATGGTCCTGTTTAGGAGTTTGATTCTTATAACAAAACAGTGAAAGTGACTGACTGAAAAACAAATCACCTCATCTTGTGTAGTTTCAACCAAGTCAGCTCTTAACACTAAACTCAGATTAAAGTCTAACAAAGACAGATTAGTGCCTAGAGTTACCATCACACCTCCAGGAAATGTTGATGACGTCGGCTGCAAAGTATCAATACATCTGTTCTGTCAATTTTCTGTTTATCTTAATGAATTTTGAGTTGAGTCTTTTACTAAGAATCCTCTCCCCAGACACTTTTATTCCTCCTGTACTTTGGTAGTTATTTAACATTGTAAATTCAGCTGAAATTCATTTTATTACTGCAAGCAAGAATTAAATAAATCAAATCAAAACCACTTCTCAGGTCGTCCACGTGCAGCGGAGAGAGTATTTATATAAAACCTTACATACTTTACAAATAAGTGACTATACTTTTGGTAATAATATTGGTAATTGAGCTATGATCTTTTTATTTTGATTAGCTGAGAAAAGTAGCAATTGATTGTTGTGAATGAAACTTAAAATCCAACAACTCACAAAATTTTAATTGACAAGGTCGCTACAAATCATCTGTTCACTTTGGAATTACAACACTAAGATGCACAATACACACTTAAAAATTACACGTTTATAGACTAAATAAAGTCAGGATGCTTTTTAAAAATATTTTGTTTAATGTAGGAAGGTACAAACTGAAATTTACCTGAAAATGGTGGACAGAGGAGGAGGTTTGGGGATCTCGAACTGATCGTCAAAAGTGAAATGAGGAAAAAGTCAGAAACACAGACTCAGCGCGTGAACTTTTACTTCTGCTTTTTGAAATAATGAGCATTTTATAAGGAGATATAGATTTAAAGCTTCAGTATGTCACTTTTCAGAATCAGTTTTATTGTCACATAAAACAGTGAATCTAATAGTAAAATATAAACTTTAAAGAGAAAGATAAAGACGTGCATTTTCTGTCTGAGGAGATTTTATTACTTTGCTGCAATGTTCCACAATATGCATTTAACTTGGCTAAACTGGGGCTAAACTGGGGCTAAACCAGGACTAAACCAGGACTAAACTGGGGCTAAACCAGGACTAAACTGGGACTAAACCAGGACTAAACTGGGGCTAAACAAGGACTAAACTGAGACTAAACCAGGGCTAAACCGACACTAAACCAGGACTAAACTGGGCTAAACTGGAACTAAACCAGGACTAAACCAGGTACTAAACCAGGACTAAACCAAGACTAAACTGGGGCTAAACCAGGACTAAACTGGGACTAAACCAGGACTAAACTGGGGCTAAACAAGGACTAAACTGAGACTAAACCAGGGCTAAACCGACACTAAACCAGGACTAAACTGGGCTAAACTGGAACTAAACCAGGACTAAACCAGGTACTAAACCAGGACTAAACCAAGACTAAACTGGGCTAAACCACAACTAAACCAGGACTAAACTGGGACTAAACCAGGACTAAACCAGGACTAAACTGGGCTAAACCAGGTACTAAACCAGGACTAAACTGGGACTAAACCAGGACTAAACTGAGACTAAACCAGGACTAAACTGGGACTAAACTGGGGCTAAACAAGGACTAAACTGGGACTAAACCAGGACTAAACTGAGATTAAACCAGGGCTAAACCGACACTAAACCAGGACTAAACTGGGCTAAACTGGAACTAAACCAGGACTAAACCAGGACTAAACTGGGCTAAAACTGGACTAAACCAGGACTAAACCAGGACTAAAACTGGGCTAAACCAGGACTAAACCAGGACTAAACTGGGCTAAACCAGGTACTAAACCAGGACTAAACTGGGACTAAACCAGGACTAAACTGAGACTAAACCAGGACTAAACTGGGACTAAACTGGGGCTAAACAAGGACTAAACTGGGACTAAACCAGGACTAAACTGAGATTAAACTAGGGCTAAACCGACACTAAACCAGGACTAAACTGGGCTAAACTGGAACTAAACCAGGACTAAACCAGGTACTAAGCCAGGATTAAACCAAGACTAAACTGGGCTAAACCACAACTAAACCAGGACTAAACCACAACTAAACCAGGACTAAACTGGGACTAAACCAGGACTAAACTGGGGCTAAACAAGGACTAAACCAGGACTAAACTGAGACTAAACCGAGACTAAACTGGGACTAAACCAGGACTAAACCAGGACTAAACCGACACTAAACCAGGACTAAACTGGGCTAAACTGGAACTAAACCAGGACTAAACCAGGTACTAAACCAGGACTAAACCAAGACTAAACTGGGCTAAACCACAACTAAACCAGGACTAAACTGGGACTAAACCAGGACTAACCCAGGACTAAACTGGGCTAAACCAGGTACTAAACCAGGACTAAACTGGGACTAAACCAGAGCTAAACCGGGTCTAAATCCGGGACTAAACCTGATTTTATTACTTTGCTGCTACAATGTTCCACAATATGCATTTAGCTTAACTATCTCCATGACGACAAGCACTACCAGGCTCAGTTACAGGGCAGACCTGGTTTTATTTCTGTATCTGTGTGTTTTTCAAGGTATTTTTGAGCAATACTAACACCCATAATGAAATACAAGCAAGACTGGTACATTTAAAGCCGCACTGTGAAACATACCAGGCATAATCTCCATGGAAACCTCACCAGAAAAGTTTCATCTTTAAACTCTTGATCATTTGTAACACAACACTCAGTACATTTTTAGGGAAACGAGAACTTTTTAAAACCACAAGATAAAGTGTGGCGAAACACAAAGCCATAGCTCCAGCACTTTTCACACTTTCTTTTCTAGTATTTATTGAAAACAGTCCTGAAAAGAGAATAAAAACAAAACTTTGCATGGAAACATCAGAATTCCGAATTAGAAAAGCATGAAGCCGTTGAAGATAATTTGTTTTTCTCTTCTGTCGGCGAAGTCTGAGGGTTGCTGAATTTCACGAAAAGATTCAAGCCAAACTTTCTGCCCCGCCTGCAACTGCAGCACCACGCCCCCAGAGAGGATCTGCAAAAAGAGACGGGGTTAGACTAGACTAAACCGGGATTAAAACCTGGACTAAACCAGGGCTAAACCAAGACTAATCCAGGGCTAAACCAGGACTAAACCAGAACTAAACTAGGGCTAAAACAGGACTAAAACAGGACTAAACCAGAACTAAACTGAGACTAAACCAGGGCTAAACCAGGACTAAACTGAGACTAAACCAGGGCTAAACCAGGACTAAACTGAGACTAAACCAGGGCTAAACCAGGGCTAAACCAAAACTAAACCAGGACTAAACCAGAACTACACCAGGGCTAAACTGGGACTAAACCACGACTAAACTGGGACTAAACCGGTACTAAACCTGGGCTAAAACAGGGCTAAACCAACACTAAACCAGGGCTAAACAGGGACTAAATCATGACTAAACTGGGCTAAACTGGGACTAAACTAGGGACTAAACCGGGACTAAACCAGGGCTAAACAAAGACTAAACCGGGACTAAACCCGGGACTAAACCTGGCTAAACCCGTACTAACCGGGACCAAATCAGATCTAAACTAGGACTAAACTAGGATTAAAACCAGTCCGGACCTGGTCAACATTGCGATTGCCGAAGTCACAGAACCCGAGTCGTTGAGTCAGAGCGTCGCTGTTGATGCCCAGACACATGGACACCTGTAAAACACCAAACAGCTGGACTCAAGGTGCACGAGAGTGAGGATCACCGGTTTTAACATTATTTAATATAACAGCATCTATTATTTAGGTCTTTTTTTTTTTTTTTTTTTTTTGCCAAATTATAACTATTGTGTAAATTAGTTCAGAGTTGCATAATAAATCTTTATCGAATCGAAATCACAATTTGAGTTGGTGCAATTATCAAAAAGGCAAAGGCTGCAGTAATTTAGAAATCAGATTATCTGTTCATATTTGGAGAACAAGAAAGTAAAGATACATGCTCTCAAAAATAATGAAATAAGTAAAAATAAAATAAAATACAGATACCTAGAATATTGATTTTATTTGCAGTACATTTATTTTTGTACTTAGTTACTTCCCCCCACTGTCACCTTGGCGACGCTGTTGAAGGTGAAGTAATAGGCTCCAGGTACTTTGCAGGTGAACTCTCCGGTCTGCAGGTCAAACTCTCTGGCCGACACCAAAAATCGCTCAAACAGCACAGTCTAAAATCAACAGGAAAATTGACGGTTTTAGGCCCAGACAAAGCTTTATCATAATGACAATAAATGACCACAAATAAATGCATTGAGAGCATTTTCATTTGCTCAAAGGTGCATCAGTCTCTGGCAACAAAGAGGAAGTGTACCAGGGCACGCTTCAGGCTCCATCAACTGAAAAATTGTGGCTCCTCTCTCTGTAAAAGCTGCTGTGAGCCTCTTCCCTTTGGTCTTAAATTGTTGGTATTAACCCGCTCTACATGATCCTGGTGTTTTTATTTTGCTATTTTGTCCATGAATTCCTATTTCTAATATGGAACTCGGCTCCAAATTATGAGCTTCATTTGACTGTAGCTGAACACACTCCCGTAGTCGACCTCTTTATACAGTCTATGCTCCAACATTTGACTCACATCTGCACTGCACTTCATACTGAGTACAATGAAGTGTCACAAAAACAGCATACATGGATTTCCCCATTTCTGTTCAACCTCAGTAATTGTATTCTAGTACTTTAGTATTACTTTTCAACTTTGGTGACCACAGCTGCTGTATTTATTCACAACACAGGAGTTTCATAGATGAGTGTAAATGTGTTACCTGTCCAGGTGTGGGATACCTAACATTTGTCTGGATCGCAGAGAAAGCGACATTCCTCTGTGGTGCCACCTCAGCTGAAAACAACACAGGACAACTATCACTTTGTAGAATATTTAACAATATTTATTTATTTTTCTATAAATTCTTAAAGGAACTGTATGTAGTCTGAGCTCTTACAGCTTTAAAAAGGTACTACAATCACATGCTGCCAGTGCCTTAACCTATACCACATAGAGGACACATCTCAGTGAAACCTCAGAACCTCCAGAATTCCCTCCATGTGCTGCAGAGGCTGCACTAGCACTGACTCATGACTGTCTGCAGGTGCTGGGGTTTAGGTTTAGGTTAGAGTTTAGGTGACCTTTCAGATCAGAGAGAGGCATTTTAGATTGAAACTAACTGGATTTCAGCACTGAGACTGGCAACTCAAATGAGAGACTCATGTGAGGCTCATTCTGCCTCCTGTTTCAATAACTGTCTTAAACCAAAACATCACATTCTGACCTAAACTACTCGGGTTCCACTTGGCCTTTAAATCCAATGTTTTTGTAATGAAGAATAGATCACAATAGTTATGAGTCAAAGCTATTGCTATTTAAGATAAATATGTCTATCTCACATCTGACGATGCAGATAATTCATGTTTATGGAATTTACAATCATACATACTGTTCCTTCAACACAGAAAACCCCACATTTACACTGTTCCCTCTTGTAACTCTCACCCTGGCCGATCTGCCCTCCGTCTAGGCCTGGGGACCCTGGTGGTCCAGGCTCTCCTCGGGGGCCCAGCCGCCCACTGTAGCCTTTTGGACCCATCGGGCCCTGGGCACCGCGCGGCCCTGCGTCTCCCTTCAGCGTCACAAAAGAGCCTGTCTTCTGCTCCAGCACTGCAGGGGGAGACAGAGACACAAGTGATCCACAGGGAAATACACTGGTTAGTGCCATGGATCTATTAAAGTTAGAGATACAGTTTATACGTTTGCATGGAAGAGGCCCTCCTCCAATCCAAAGAAGAGAAAACAAAAGAAGACAAAATACATTTTAAAACATGCTTTTAATGTGGTCTATTTCTTAGAGAAATAAATGATGCCCTGCTGGGGCTGTAAGCCACAAGATACAGTGACATCACACTGAGGCTGTTCTACATGTACCTGTATGTACATTAGCAAACCCTGTCAAAAAAGATAAGATATTCTGAAATCTCAAAAAATAAATAAATAAATAAATAAAAAATACAGACTGGATTTTTAAAAAGTGAGAGAGGCTAACTGAAAAACTGTTGGCTAATGCTAAGTAGCTTGTGACTGTAAATTTATGTGCAAGAGAATTGTTTAAGAGCACAAATCATCCCCGCTGTTGTAGTTACAGCGAAGTCAGTTCAGACAGAGCAGTGCCTACAGTTAGCATTACACCACCAGGGAATGTTGATGACATGAGCTGTAAAGTGTCATTAAGGAAATATGTTTAAATTCAGACTAGTCCACAGTCCCACCTGGCTCTCCCTTCTCTCCTTTGGGTCCTGGAAATCCATCTCGTCCCGGAGTCCCTTTCACTCCCGGACGGCCATCGTGGGGACAGACGTCACAGCGGATGATTGACAGCAGTGAAATCCCGCCCACCAGCAGCAACAGCCAATAGGAGCCTCCCATTTTCAAACTCACTGCACAGAAAGTAACATGCAAGGTTTTATTTTATTTATTGACATTTTTTATAGGTTTAACTTCAGAGGAGTAAATAGAGTTTTATGTGCCTCTTGCCTCAAGCCCCCAGACTTTTGTCGACAGGCCTGCTTAACTTTAAATTAATTCTTTAAATTAATAAAAATATTTTTAAAAGATGATCAAAATGTATCAGCAGGTTCATGCCATAGCTTTAGTTAACCAATCTAAAATTAGGTTAATATTAGCACAAACTACAGCACTAAAACAACAAAAGAGCTTAAAATGAAAACTTTAAGACTCATTTTTGGATATCAATGGATATAATTTTCTCATTTTGCAATCAAAGCCTGTTTTAACCACCCCACAGTTAAAACCGAACAACAAAAATGGATCTAAATGACGATTCTTTAGTGTTTAACTCACCGTCTTTTCTTCAGAGCAGAGACTGACCAAAACTATTCCTCCAGAGGCTCAAACTCCCAAACTCTCACTGAGGAACTGAAACTGATGAGATCTGCACCAATCAATGTAGCATTCAAAATATAACTTTCATTTTAAAGGGGCACGGTGTAACTTTTCTGGAGGGGGGTCCGCCATTTATTTTATATTTGCTTTAAATTTCGTAAAATGGCACCGAACCTATTCTGAAATTCCCTGCATTTGTTCAACGATGAAAATATCTTCATGTAAATAGGGACACCTCTCCACAGATCTGACTTATAACTTGGTGTGAAAGTAGTATTACATGGTTTTCGCGATGAAGATTGTTGAAGTTTGATGCCATGAAACATTCCAGGTAAAGCTTTAAGTGGAGTGACAAGCAGTGTTGGGAAGGTGACTTTTAAAATGTATCCCCCTACAGATTACAGATTACATACCCCAAAATGTAGTTTGTAACATAATCCATTAAATTACTTAAAGTGAGTAACGTAATCTGAATACTTTGGATTACTTGATTTGCTGTAGAGAAGCAAAAACGAGGATATTGTAACATAAGACTTTACTTAACCGTACTAAAAATATTATTGATAGAAGACGAGGAGACCCGTCCACGCAGAATGATTTAGTCCTGTTAAATCCTGTTTTAGACCTGGTTTAGACCTGGTTTAGTCCTGGTTTAGTCCAGGTTTAGATCTGGTTTTAGTCCTGGTTTAGTCCTGGTTTAGACCTGGTTTAGACCTGGTTTTAGTCCTGGTTTAGTCCTGGTTTAGTCCTGGTTTAGACCTGGTTTAGACCTGGTTTTAGTCCTGGTTTAGTCCTGGTTTAGACCTGGTTTAGTTCTGCTTTAGTCTTGGTTTAGACCTGGTTTAGACCTGGTTTTAGTCCTGGTTTAGTCCTGGTTTAGTCCTGGTTTAGCCCTGGTTTAGACCTGCTTTAGTTCTGCTTTAGTCTTGGTTTAGACCTGGTTTAGACCTGGTTTTAGTCCTGGTTTAGACCTGGTTTGGACCTGGTTTAGTTCTGCTTTAGTCTTGGTTTAGACCTGGTTTAGACCTGGTTTAGACCTGGTTTAGTTCTGCTTTAGTCTTGGTTTAGACCTGGTTTAGACCTGGTTTAGACCTGGTTTTAGTCCTGGTTTAGACCTGGTTTAGACCTGGTTTAGTCCTGGTTTAGTCCTGGTTTAGCCCTGGTTTAGACCTGCTTTAGTTCTGCTTTAGTCTTGGTTTAGTCTTGGTTTAGACCTGGTTTAGACCTGGTTTAAGACCTGGTTTAGACCTGGTTTAGACCTGGTTTTAGTCCTGGTTTAGACCTGGTTTGGACCTGGTTTAGTGTCCGGCAATGAGTAGAATTACCGGAATTAAAAAAAAAGGAAAAAAAAGGGATATAGCCCGAAATGTGAAAACAGGAAAACACCGCCGTGTAATCCATTTATTTCAACAAAGTAACTGTAATCCAATTACCACTCACTGAAACAGTAACTGTAACTGAATACAGTTACTCATAATTTGTACTCTGATTACGTAACTCCGGTACATGTAATCTGTTACTCCCCAACACTGGTGACAAGACAACTTTTAAAAGTATATTGGTTTTATTGTCTATTTGGACCAGTTAAACATGAAAGCAACGACGTGTGTGTGTTAGATTTGCGACAGAATATCTAGTAGATGATGTTGTAACTTTGTTTAGAAAGGCGCTGTATAAATAAAATATCATTGTATTATAATAGGACATTCACACTGTAGCCTATGATATTATATATTTAACACTATTTAATATAAAAATGTCAATGTTTCCAGTCATGTCTTTCTCTTATGTAGTGGGAGCCTTATTTGATAGAAGATATAGGCCTGTCGAAATGACCTCCTTATATAAAGAATGGTGATTCTACAGTGAGAGCATTATTCGATGGCTAAAGTTTCCTGTCGATATCTGCTGCCTTTAGTTGGAGCCCTATTTGAGCAGAATATGAAAAATGAAATGAACAACCTACACATTTTCATATAAATGAGTTGAAATGTGACATAACTAAGGTTCATCAGCCGGTCTCACTTTGTGGAAACCGTCTGACCTCGCAGCGTTAGGTTTTGTTCCCTCGACAGTAGGCAGGTACTTTTTTGATTTAACCAATTGCTGCTATTTGGTCGTAGTCCTGGTCTGGTTTCTGTCTGGTCCTTTTCTCAGTCCGCGTGCGTCTCAGTCCCATCCTGGTCTTGGTCCCGATCTCAGTCCTGGTCTTAGTTCTGGTCTGATCCAGGTCTCAGTTCCCATCTCAGTCCTGGTCTTAGTTGTGGTCTGGTCCCGGTCTGGTCCCAGTCTCAGTCCTGATCTTAGTTCTGGTCTGGTCCCAGTCTCAGTCCTGGTCGAATGAGCATGGACATGGATTATACATGGATGATCCCTGTCTCCTTTTCCTATTTTTGTATAAAGGCTGAATCTTGACAAGGTTTAAAAAACATAGTAGAGCGCTTCCTCTGTTACCACATGACATCACAAGGTGGAAGCGAAAACATTATAAATGAGAAAATAGAGTAATATAATGTAGAAAAATCTGCCTGTTTCAACCCCCCACACACTCTTGACTCTGCTGTTGTGTCCTTGGGCAACACACTACCTGCTTTTCCTCCAGTGTTTCGTATTTGTCATGTATTTGTTAAGCCGTCCACAGGGGGTTTATGCAAATGTCACAGAAACCCTGCAACGTACTTTTTTGATTTAACCAATCGCTGCTATTTGGTCGTGACGTATGTAATGCGCTGCTAACGGGGATAACTGCTATATTAAGCTTTTCCCAAATCCTGTAGGAAGAAGGGCAGTAACGTCTTTCCCCTTGATAAAATTCACCAAACATTCTCTTTGTTCCGGCTTTAAATCCTCGATCTCGAGAATCGTTGCCAACGCAGAATGTCTGTCTTCGTCTACATCCATCTCGACCGCTTTGTTTACTGTTGTGCTGTACCACAAAAAGGGACCCAGACAGGCGTGACGAGTTTGACGTCATGGCTTCACAGCTCTTCACTGATTGGCCGGTGCGCGATCTACAACTTCCGGGGTTCTTGCAAACCGTCTAGTGTATTCTGATCCCTGACCTAGTCGCTGGAGAGAAATGAAATTGAGCGGAGGCACTAGGTGGCGCCAGCCTGGCTAATAAAGTATAATCAAACAGGATCAACCCGCTGTCTCTAATCCAAAGAAATATGTCGTAAAACTGGAGAGGTCAGGATTTGGCTTTATTAGATCTATACAACTGTAAAGGAAAAAACATAAGATCGCTTATTTTGATGGGGTAGCGTCACTGTTGATTTAAGCTGCTGGTAGTTCATTTTGACTAAACACCCCTAGCCAGAAAAAGGTTACAGAGTGCGTCTTTAAATTATTTTCAAGATTTACTCCAGATTACTTTAGGCTTTTTTTTTAACTACTGTGGTTACATACAAACACTTTAGTAGCAGATTTCTGGAGTTGTCCAGTTGTTATTCTTTCTGGTCCTTCATACTCACATCACATTTTGCAGTTTGTTTTTTATTGATACTTTGCAATGACATCACACTGGGGCAGCTCAACATGTATCTGTATTGACGTAACGTTCACCAGTTACCATGGTGACGCAATGCACACATTAGCAAACACAGTCAGACAAGTTTTAAGATTGTCTGAAAACTCAAGAAAAAAACACAAAAGAGCACATTTTCAGGAGCCTGTGATCAGTCCGAGAGTTCACGGTCCTGTTTAGGAGTTAGATTTTCAATAAAAAGGTGAGAGTGACTGACTGAAAAACTGTCATGTTATTTGAGAGAGACTTTAACACCACAAACCAGCTCTTCTGTTGTAGTTCCAGCTAAGTCAGTTCTTTCTGGTGAGATTTTGTGCAGTTTAAAAGTCTATGAAAGCGTCAGACAGAGCAGTGTCTACAGTTAGCACCACACCACCCGGGAAAGTTGTAAGCATCAGCTGCAAAGTATCAACCCCAGAAATCTACTAATAATCAGATTTTTTGTGCATGTAAACACAGCCACTGTAGCTTTGGCATTTTCCTGTAACAGAACTCAAAATAAAGTGGATGACAAAGCTTTAGTTGGTGTTAAGTTTGTCTTTTTGTCTGTGAAATGCAAACGGGGCACTTCAAGACTGCACTGGGATCTTCTAGTTTAAACCTGCACTAGAAATGACTTAAATACTTTGATCTATGGAGGACAAACTACATGCCTCTCGACTGACCAAACAATAGAAATGCAGCGGACCAGAGTTTGAGAAACACTGGCCTCATATCTTACATTTACTTTATTTGGATTTTCTTTTTAAATTTTAGTTTCTGTTATCGTCTACTGAGAAGTTTAGAATAAGAACATAAGAACACACGATAACTGATCTCTTATTTATGTCTTTGAACTAAATGGATGGTTTGGTCATTGCACAGAACCCCAGAACAGTACCGCCCTCTAGTGGCCAAACTGCACTGGCTTCAGAAAAACACGAAAGGAAACCGTTTCAGATTTTAGTTTTGCATCATTAAAGGGTGAAGGAACCGTTCAAATGAGCTCATTCACAAACACATCGCATCACTAGAAACTAATCATTTTAAATAAAGTGGAACAGTTTTTAGAGCTCAAGATCCATACACTCCTAGAATACAACTATAATTAAAATCAAATAAATAAATAAACATAACTTAAATAATCAGCTTCGGGCACCATGGGATTGTGGTTTACGCAGTAAAGTAAAACAAACTCAATGTCCAGATCCAGAGATGCATTTAGCAAGATTTATTCCAGGTTTTAACAGGCAAACAACAAGCATACATGTTTAGGCTACTTGGTGCTTCTTCTGCTGGCTGGTAAAAACCATAGGCCCACCCAGGTGCACTCTGGTCCTGTTGTAAAAGGTAAAAGGTAAATAATAACAAATTAGACAAATAAGGAAAAGTAATAGCAAAAATGTATTATACAAATGAACAAAACTGAATTAGTAAACTAATTGACAAACAAAAATAGTAAACTAATTTTGGAATAAACTAAATAAGCAAATAGCTCCTACAGTCCATGATGAAATAGAAGAAGCTTTAACTTTCTGCAAAACTGTCATTAATCTTTCTCATAAAAAAAAAAAAAAAAAAAGAGTATTGAAATTTTCGCTGTACCAATATTTGTAGTACCAATTTTGAGGAGCATTTAATCATAGTAAAATCCCGGCCTTTAACACTGACTCTATATTTTCAGCAGTCTAAATCTTTATACATTTTTGGCATCAAAACTATACAATATATTATGCATGTATCTCTTTATCCTATCCTAAAGTTACTACTGCATGTTTTGTTGTTACAGAAAAGCCTCTGAAGAAACCGGTGCCCATTCATGAACAGACCGTGAGGGAAGAGAAGTGCAGATACCAGAGGTTCCATGGGGCATTCACTGGAGGGTTTTCTGCTGGATATTTCAGTACTGTCGGCTCCAATGAAAGTCAGTGAACATATTTTATTTCTGCAGTCTTCTTCTTGTTTCTTTAGCATGTGTTTTAAAATGTATTATGTATGTAATGGATTACTTGATTTGCTGTAGAGAAGCAAAGACTAAGATATCGTAACATAAGGACAATAAAAAGTCCAGACTTTACTTAACCGTATTAAAAATATTATTAATAGAAGAGGAATAGACACGGTCTGCGCAGCATGATTTAGTCCTGTTAAATCCTGTTTTAGTCCTGGTTTAGTCCTGGTTTAGTCCTGTTTTAGTCCTGGTTTAGTCCTGGTTTAGTCCTGGTTTAGTCCTGGTTTAGACCTGGTTTAGACCTGGTTTAGTCCTGGTTTAATCCTGGTTTAGTCCTGGTTTTAGACCTGGATTTAGACCTATTTTTAGACCTGTTTAGACCTGGTTTAGACCTGGTTTTAGACCTGGTTTTTTAGACCTGTTTTAGACCTGTTTAGACCTTTGTTTAGACCTGGTTTAGTCCTGGTTTAGTCCTGGTTTAGTCCTGTTTTAGTCCTGGTTTAGACCTGGTTTAGACCTGGTTTTAGTCCTGGTTTAGTTCGGGTTTAGTCCTGGTTTAGTCCTAGTTTAGACCTGGTTTTAGTCCTGGTTTAGACCTGGTTTTAGACCTGGTTTAGTCCTGGTTTAGTCCTGGTTTAGTCCTGTTAAATCCTGGTTTAGTCCTGTTTTAGTCCTGGTTTAGTCCTGGTTTTAGTCCTGGTTTTAGTCCTGGTTTTAGACCTGGTTTAGACCTGGTTTAGTCCTGGTTTAGACCTGGTTTTAGTCCTGGTTTAGTCCTGGTTTAGACCTGGTTTTAGACCTGGTTTAGACCTGGTTTAGTCCTGGTTTAGACCTGGTTTAGACCTGGTTTAGTCCTGGTTTAGTCCTGGTTTAGACCTGGTTTAGACCTGGTTTTTAGACCTGGTTTAGTCCTGGTTTAGTCCTGGTTTAGACCTGGTTTAGACCTGGTTTTAGACCTGGTTTAGACCTGGTTTAGTCCTGGTTTAGTCCTGGTTTTAGACCTGGTTTAGACCTTTTTTAGACCTGGTTTAGTCCTGGTTTAGTCCCTGGTTTTAGTCCTGGTTTAGACCTGGTTTTAGACCTGGTTTAGTCCTGGTTTAGTCCTGGTTTAGTCCTGGTTTTAGACCTGGTTTAGACCTGGTTTAGTCCTGGTTTAGTCCTGGTTTAGACCTGGTTTTAGACCTGGTTTAGACCTGTTTAGACCTGTTTAGACCTGGTTTAGTCCTGGTTTAGTCCTGGTTTAGACCTGGTTTTTTAGTCCTGGTTTAGTTTTACCTGGTTTCCTGGTTTTAGTCCTGGTTTAGACCTGGTTTAGTCCTGGTTTAGACCTGGTTTAGACCTGTTTAGTCCTGTTTAGTCCTGGTTTAGTCCTGGTTTAGTCCTGGTTTAGTCCTGTTTTAGTTTTTTAGTCCTGGTTTAGTCCTGGTTTAGTCCTGGTTTAGACCTGGTTTTAGACCTGGTTTAGACCTGGTTTAGTCCTGGTTTAGACCTGGTTTAGTCCTGGTTTTAGTCCTGGTTTAGACCTGGTTTTAGACCTGGTTTAGACCTGGTTTAGTCCTGGTTTAGACCTGGTTTAGACCTGGTTTAGACCTGTTTAGTCCTGGTTTAGACCTGGTTTAGACCTGGTTTTAGACCTGGTTTAGACCTGGTTTAGTCCTGGTTTTAGACCTGGTTTAGACCTGGTTTAGACCTGGTTTAGACCTGGTTTAGTCCTGGTTTAGACCTGGTTTAGACCTGGTTTTAGACCTGGTTTAGTCCTGGTTTAGTCCTGGTTTAGACCTGGTTTAGACCTGGTTTTTAGACCTGGTTTAGACCTGGTTTAGTCCTGGTTTAATCCTGTTTAGTCCTGGTTTAGACCTGGTTTAGACCTGGTTTTAGACCTGGTTTAGGCCTGGTTTTAGACCTGGTTTAGTCCTGGTTTAGGCCTGGTTTTAGACCTGGTTTAGACCTGGTTTAGACCTGGTTTAGTCCTGGTTTAGACCTGGTTTAGTCCTGGTTTAGTCCTGGTTTAGACCTGGTTTTAGACCTGGTTTAGTCCTGGTTTAGTCCTGGTTTAGACCTGGTTTTAGACCTGGTTTAGTCCTGGTTTAGTCCTGGTTTAGTCCTGGTTTAGACCTGGTTTTAGACCTGGTTTAGACCTGGTTTAGACCTGGTTTTAGACCTGGTTTAGACCTGGTTTAGTGTCCAGCAATGAGTAGAATTACTGAAAAAAAAAAGAAAAGGGGATATAGCCCAAAATGTAAAAAACAGGAAAAGACCGCCATGTAATCCATTTATTACAACAATGTAATCTGTAACTGTAATCCAATTACCACTCACTGAAACAGTAACTGTAATTGAATACAGTTACTCATAATTTGTACTCTGATTACGTCACTCTGGTACATGTAATCTGTTACTCCCCAACACTGAGTATATATAAAAAAACCTCCTTGAAGCCAATGGGAAGCCACTTGCACAAGTGTTCATCAAATGTGGCATATACCAAAGAGACTCACTGTCCCCACTGCTGTTCTATTCTGTTCTGCATAAGTCTGAACCCCCTCAGCCCCAAATCATCGACCGCACTGGCTACGGATACCGACAGACATCGGAATGTCATTCGGGCTTGAGAAATGTAGTAGGATGGTGACAAAGAGAGGGAAGGTAGTCCACACAGAGGGGGTGTCACTCCCAGAGGGAACAATAGCAGACGTTGAGGACAGTTACAAGTACCTTGGTATCCCACAAGTAAATGGCAACCTCGAAGAGGCAACAAGGAAAGCGGCTACGGCCAAATACCTGCAAAGAGTGAGACAAGTCCTAAAAAGCCAGCTCAATGGTAAGAACAAGGCACAGGCAATCAACAGCTACGCCCTGCCAGTGATCAGATACCCTGCAGGAATCATAAGCTGGCCAAAGGAGGAGATACAGACCACAGATGTTAAGACACGAAAGTTTCTGAACATGCATGGAGGGTTCCATCCCAAATCCAGCACCCTGAGACTGTACGCAAGATGGAAGGAAGGAGGCCAAGGACTAGTGAGTGTGGGAACCACTGTCCAGGATGAAACATCCAAGCTCCTTGAGTACATCAAGGACAAGGCCCCGGCAGATGAGGTGCTCAGAGAATGTCTCAGACAGTGGGGTCCAGAGGAAGAGGTGCTGGAGGGACCATCATGGCAGGACAAACCCCTACATGGGGCGTACCACCGGAACATAACTGAAGTGGCTGATATCAAGAAATCCTACCAATGGCTTGAGAGGGCTGGTCTGAAGGACAGCACAGAGGCACTGATCCTGGCTGCTCAGGAGCAGGCCCTGGGCACTCGAGCAATAGAGGCCCAGATCTACCACACCAGACAAGACCCACGGTGTAGACTGTGCAAAGAGGCTCCTGAGACAGTCCAGCACATAACTGCAGGGTGTAAGATGCTGGCAGGGAAAGCATACATGGAGCGACATAACCAAGTGGCGGGCATAGTGTACAGAAACATCTGTGCAGAGTACGGGCTGGAAACCCCAGGATCAAGGTGGGAAACACCTCCAAAGGTTGTGGAGAATGACCGAGCCAAGATCCTGTGGGACTTCAGATACAGACTGACAGAATGGTGATGGCGAACCAACCAGACATAGTGGTGGTGGATAAGAAACAGAGCAGAGCCGTGGTGGTTGACATCGCAATACCAAGCGATGGTAATATCAGGAAAAAGGAACACGAGAAGCTAGAGATATACCAGGGGCTCAAGGAGGAGCTGAGAAAGCCTGGAAAGTGAAGGCATCAGTGGTGCCTGTGGCACTTGGGGCTGTAACCCCCAAACTGGAAGAGTGGCTACAACAGATACTGGGAAAACATCAGACATCTCAGTCCAGAAAAGTGCAGTACTGGGAACAGCAAAGATACTGCGCAGAACTCTCAGGTTCCCAGGCCTCTGGTAGAGGACCCGAGCTGGATGAGGGTGAGAGAGACCAAACACTGTGGAAGGTGAGAAACACATATACATACATACATATATAGATATACATATATGTATATAGAAAGAGAGTCTGGGACAGTCTGGAATTTTGGACATAGGCTAACTAGGAAATGAGGCCCATGAGGGTGTTTTGTGGAGTGGGTGTTTTTAGTGGCAGAATAACTATGGCCATTGACATGCACTAGCCTAGCACCAGCGACCTCTGCAAATGCAAGAACTGGATGGACTATTTAAAAAAGTGTCTCCACACGTCTCCAACACTCTCGCTAACTTGGAAATGAGGTCCTATGTCCAAAATTCTGGACTGTCCCGGAAGTCCGGAATGAGAGGGTGTGTCCAAACTTTTGACTGGTAGTGTATATATACAGGAAATAAAAATTTATTTTTGTGGTAGAGGTAATTTTCTTCCCAAAATAATTGATGAAAATTCAAGAATGTCAAGAACACAGCCTATTCCATTCTTAGTTAAAGAAACACTATGTAACTTTTCCTCTTTCCTGATGGGTCAGCCACGTGCTTATCTTTATGGTGATGTTACAGTGCGGCATTAAACTTGTTTATCACTTTGAAGATAACCTGACGACATTTATTGCTTAACTTACAAGTCAGATCTGTGGAGAGGCAAGCCCAATCATAGTAAGAATGGATGTTTTGCAGGATATTTCTTAGCAATAAAAACATCTGTAACAACATAAGCAGTTAAAGCTATGCTGAAAAGTTGCAGGAAGAAGAAATAACATCTCCTTGGAAACAAGCTGGTGTCAGACTACCCACAAGAAGTTACACAGTGCATCTTTAACGATAAAATGACGTTCATTTCTGTAAACAGTTTTGCTACTATGTCCATACTAATAAAGTAGTCCAAAGATGCATATTTATGTGACGAAATTGCAAAAAGCAAGACACAGTACCCAAGAACGGTGTTCAGTCGTGCACAGTGGCCATACACCAAGGCTCTGCTTCATAAAATATTTGTTTCTAGTGACCTCTTGTGGTCAGTGCTGGGCATTTTAGAACAGTACATATTTCTAACAGTGATTCAGGTTAATCTCCAAAACATAATCAATTGTACACTAACTCGCAACATAGTCAAACATGTGTATGAAACAACACACTACTGCAGGTATTTAAACATTATAGAAAAGTTCAACACAAAAAGATTCAAAATAAAAAGGGGATTTTTATCAGTACTGGATTGACTTTCCATTTAAATACCCTGCACCTGTTTTTTTAATCTTCAAGTTCCTTCTACTGCATAATATAATGAGCTATTTATGAACAAACTGAGACTGAATAAAGTAGAAAATGCATTTTAAAAGTTAGACGAGAACCATATGGAAAAAAACTGTCAGTAGCAACCTTTGAAAGATGTCCAAAGATTTATATTTTTTGCACTTTGTTATTGTATTTATTGTGATGTGTGAGCTACTTTGTCCAAATAATTTCCCTTGTGGATCTATAAAGTTTGTCTAAATCTCTCTAAGTCTTAAATCCTTCCATTGGGGTTCATGAAGAAGAAAAGGGAGTTGGTAGGTAGAGCTGACAGTTCAAACTAAAGTGCATGTGACAGGTTAGACTAAATAAAAAAATTAAAAAAAAGTAACATCCTTATATTTAAGATTTCACTAAAAACCTTGTTGTTTATAATTTTACTTCCTGGCTGGACACGGGCAGCAGATACGACATACTTAGAGGTAATTCCATAACTGTTACCTAGCAACCATGATGTAAACAAGGGCTGCAACATGTCAAAATTGCACAATAACTATGATTGGACTAGTAAAAATTAATGACAGCACATGTATTTTGTTGAACAAAGGTGCATTGTCTAACTTTTCTGGGTCCTTCAAATGCTTGTCTCCATGGAGATGCTACTGCTTTATCTGTAATGTTTCATAGTATGGCATTAAACCTTTCTACCCTCAATTGAGATCTAACCAGACCAAGTTACAGGTCAGATCTGTGGAGAGACAACCCCGCTCACAGTCAGAATACCCATTTTTCTTGGTATTTTTGAGCTATAATCAAACTACCTGTGATTGAATAAATGTCAAGTAGAGCTGATTAATGTCATACTGTGGAACATTCATTGCAGAGCAATGACATATCCATAGAAACAGGCCGGTGACAGACCCTTAACCAAAAAGTTACACCTTTAAACTTCCAAAAAAATGCCATCCTTGTTCATGAATTGTTCATAAATTGTCCCTGCATGGAATTTTGGATGGAATTTTTTTTATGTAAATGACATAGGTAATGGGATTCTGTTTTAGAACTCAACACTGCTTTGTGTTTTTCTCAACTTTTACTCTCCAAACTGCCACCTAACTGAAAATTCATGTAAATATTTACCACAGATACTACCCCACCAAACCAAGTAATAATTAGAAAACCACAAAAACCTGCCAGATGCACTTTAAACCATGTTCTTCTACCATGTTTCATCATCAGTTACAGGGCTTTTTAGTTAATTTGCTAGCAGACAAAAACAAACAAAACAAAAATTAAAGTTAGAAACATTCAGTATCCTCATATGAAGTGAAAATTGTCTGTTAAACTTATATTAGTGTGGACATAGCATAACCCATATCCCTCTTCTTCATTATGAGCCAGAGCCAGCGTCCAGGCTTTCTTCAACTCTTTCAGACCAAACCGTCCGTCTCATAAAAATAAGACACAATATGGCGGCAGAGGGGGCAGTTTCTTCCTGATCTCTGCCCCGCCCCCAGGTTGCCGTGGAACTGGTTCGGTTTAGGCGGAGTTCAAAGGTCAGCAGTTCAAAGTTCGGGCGCTACATGATGATGCGTGGCTCTGGGACGGACTCGCTGATGGATTTGTGAGGGAGGACGTTGGCGCCGTTTAATAAAGCTCATCGTTCACTATGACATCTTCTCCCAAAACTGTCACATTCTCCATTCGCACCTACAGGAAAAAAAACAAATCAGAAAATGCACTAAAATCATTACGATCTGTAAAATCTTAATATTAGCTTTTTGACTTTTTTTTATATTTTAAAGTGTCCTTATTACGTTATTTTCTGATCTGCTGTTTCTTCATCAAAAACAGACCCGGAGTTGTGTTTTGTTTCATTTACACATGTTTAACACACAAACTCTGCATGAGGCTGGGTTCTTCTTTCACAGCGAAAACACTTTTAAACTCCACACACCTTCACTAGAATCATTTGAACAATTTCAGTTCTGAAAATGCTCATCTTTACTGAACTAAAGGTAAAAGGAGCTATTAACTTGAAAACTACCGCTTCATGACATCACAAGGTGCAACAGAGCATTTTGAGCTTTGGACATGGAGACAGACTAATAATAAAATGTTACTCAAACATGTGTGAAGAGTAAGTTTTGTGTAATATGGGCCCTTTCATATGTTCAACAGTCATAATAATTACTAATTACTATATTACTTTTTCTTAGCACTTGAGAAGAACTTTTTGGTATTTATCTGTTCTATGATCAGATTTGAGCTGTGGAGGGTTAAATAAATAATTTCTATGGCTCTTTGTAGACACAAATTAACTACTAAACTAATTCTGCTATGTATTTATAGATTGTGTTTTTGTAACTGGATTATACATTTAGAATACTGGTAGTTTAGCTGTAGCCCTTTTTGTGTCAGTGGCTTAAATCAGTTTCAGTGTTTATTGTCTAGATTTTCTTATATATCATATTTTCTTCTTAATATATTGTACTTCAAAATTTGTTCTGGTGACAGGACTAATGTGAATTAGTAATAACATAGTACAAAAATGAACACCCTGTTGGATTATAAAAAATATATATATTTTAGATAAAAAAAAAAAAAAAAGACATTGGTTTCATATAGCTGTCCTGTAATGTTTCATTGTTTTTAACTGCGTCTTTAAATTAAATGCATTATATAGTTAAAATGAATAATTACCCTCTCAAATGAGCACGTGCAAGTTTTTCTGCATATCAAGAGGATAAAACTACATAGTATCAGATGAGTATCTTGTTTCGATACAAATTTTAGTATCAGATTTTCTCTACTTTTTGAGCACCCTTGTACTACTGACCCACTGTCCGACGGAGCAGCTCCAGCCCACGATGCAGCTCTCCAACCAGGAGTGAGATCGGACCCTGGCGCCTTTCAGCACCGTGCAGCGTTTGATTCGCACGCCGTCCTCCACCACCACCCCCGCCCCGATGGACACGTTTGGACCAATACTGCAGTTCTGTCCGATCACAGCAGATGGGTCCTGGGCCAAACAGAGGACAGGGTAAAAAGAGGGACTAGACCAGGGAGGGGACTAGACCAGGGAGGGGACTAGACCAGGGAGGGGACTAAACTAAACCAGACCATAGACAGTGTTGGGGAGTAACAGATTACATGTACCGGAGTTACGTAATCAGAGTACAAATTATGAGTCACTGTATTCAGTTACAGTTACTGTTTCAGTGAGTGGTAATTGGATTACAGTTACTTTGTTGAAATAAATGGGTTACACGGCGGTGTTTTCCTGTTTTCACATTTTGGGCTATTCCCTTTATTTATTTATTTTTTGTTTTTTGTCTGATAATTCCACTCATTGCCGGACACTAAACCAGGTCTAAACCAGGTCCAAACCAGGTCTAAAACCAGGACTAAACCATGACTAAAGCAGGACTAAAGCAGGACTAAAGCAGGACTAAAGCAGGACTAAAGCAGGACTAAAACCACACGTCTAAACCTGGTCTAAACCAGGTCTAAACTAGGTCTAAACCAGGACTAAAACCAGGTCTAAATCAGGACTAAAACCAGGTCTAAACCAGGTCTAAAACCAGGTATAAACCAGAACTAAACCAGGTCTAAACCAGGACTAAACCAGGTCTAAAACCAGGTCTAAACTAGGACTAAACCAGGACTAAACCAGGTCTAAACCAGGTCTAAACCAGGTCTAAACCAGGTCTAAACCAGGTCTAAACTAGGTCTAAACCAGGACTAAAACCAGGTCTAAAACCAGGTCTAAACCAGGTCTAAAACCAGGTCTAAACCAGAACTAAACCAGGTCTAAAACCAGGTCTAAACTAGGACTAAACCAGGTCTAAACCAGGTCTAAACCAGGTCTAAACCAGGTCTAAACCAGGTCTAAACTAGGTCTAAAACAGGATTTAACAGGACTAAATCATGCTGCGCAGACCATGTCTCCTCCTCTTTTATCAATAATATTTTTTATTTGGTTAAGTAAAGACTGGACTTTTTATTTTCTTTTATCAGACAAAACATCTTAAGTTACGATTTCCTCGTCTTTGCTTCTCTACAGTAAATCAAGTAATCCAAAGTATTCAGATTACATTACTCACTTTAAGTAATTTAATGGATTACATTACAAACTACATTTTGGGGTATGTAATCTGTAATCTGTAGGGGAATACATTTTAAAAGTCACCTTCCCAACACTGACCATAGAGACACCTGCCTATAAACACAAACACACATAACTTAGTGCTTTCTCCCTTACACATAGAAATAAACAAAATTTCTGGGTTGGCGTCAGTAAAATTTCATAGGTGCAGTTCTGAGTACTAGTTTGTACCATTGTCCACTAGTTTGTACATTTAACTTACTGCTATGAGAACAGTACCTACTTTTCTTCAGTCTGAAACCCATGGAACCCATAAATAACCAGACTTGTAAAATACAGTTCAAACTTAATGTTATTAAAATTAAAGTTAAAACACATTTGGGCCCTTGTCATGCAACTCTGGCCACTCACCACCAGGACGTTGCCGTGGAAACCGGGTCCCGTGTGCAGGCGCTCGGGTGAGTGTTGTCGTAGGGACTGCAGGTACATGCACATCCCCGTCAGGAAGTCTTTGGGCTGTCCGATGTCCATCCAGAACCCTAAAAACGCAAGTAAGTCTGGGTTATTCTTCAGCGATAGAAGATGTGCCCTCTGCATTTGCCCCGTCCTTTAACACAGGTGGGTTAAGTGCAGTGCCAGGGGTCTACTGGAGCTTGACCCAGGATCTTGGACAGGAGTACTTAGCCAGAGGGGTAGTCTACTGTGCATGTTCTAATCTAAGATGTCTAATCTAAACTTTTGCCATCGCGAGCAAGACCATTATGCCACATAGTATAATTAAATATGGATCCCACCTAATATCTTCGTAATAGATTATTTAAACAAATAAACAGCAATACTAAAGAAATGACCACAGTGAATCCACTGACATCACTTGGGACCATCAAAACTGAATAGAAAGTCAGTCACTGAAGACCTAAATAGATATCAAAACAAACTACAAATCTACAGCACCAGTGTAACTTACGTTTCGTCGAGCAGTGAGCTGAGCAGAGGACAGAGCAGACACAGTAGTCGCAATGAACAAAGTTATTTAAATCACCTGGTTATGGTGGACATGTCAATATGGAAGACTTATTTACATCAACATGTGCATTAAAGGGGAATGTTTAAGTTAACGCTGACTTTTGCATTTCTACACTTCAGATTTAACATGGATCACATAGAACTACATATGTAGGCTGTTTAGTCTTTGTCAGGTCTTGGTTGTTTGTTTTGGTTTTGCTTTGGTACTCACCTTGCAGTTCCATGGCAAACAGGTGACCCTCCTCTGCCATCACTGGGAAGATCTCCTTCTCTATCGATGTCGGTCTGAGCTGCACACATAAAGAATATACAACATTTATTTATTCACAAATGCATTTCAATCCCGTCAATATAAACCCACATTTAAGAAATAAATGTGGAAGTAAAAGTTATTTTTGTTATTTTAAAATGGCAACAGCAAATAACAAATACTAAGTCAAGGACTAAACATAAAGTATAAAATAAGACTAAACTATAACTTAAAACGAGCAACCTGCTTTGTGTCCATGAAGATGTTATGTTCCACAGTGTGTGGCATTAACCTTGCCTGGTGACCTCACCTGGTTGTCTCCATGAAGAGTTTAAAGCCATGCAGTGGAACATTCCAGGCAAAGCAATAACATGGAGACAAGCAGGTGGTGACTCCTTCCCCAGAAAAGTTTCATTGTGCTCCTTTAACCAAGTCTTAACCATGAAATCCAGAACTAAACCTACAAAATACAAAAACTTTACTACCAGGAATAAAACAACACTAAACCAAGATTAAATTAGATCTAAACAAGGATTCGCAAGGTCTACATACAATTAAGACAATACTAACCCAGCTCTACACCAGGTCTACACCAGGTCTACACCAAGTCTACACCAGGTCTACACCAAGTCTACACCAGGTCTACACCAGGTCTACACCAGGTCTACACCAGGTCTACACCAAGTCTACACCAGGTCTACACCCAGGTCTACCCCAGGTCTACCCAGGTCTACCCCAGGACTAAGCTAGGTCTAAATCAGGTCTATCAACTCCACCGCAGGCCTAGAGGGGCCTCCTGACCTGTATGCGCCGGAGCATGCTGGGGTTGAAGATGTACATTCCAGCGTTGATTTTGTTAGACACAAAAACCTGCGGCTTCTCCACGAATCTATGAATGCTGCCGCTGTCGCCGTCGTAAACCACCACGCCATATTTGGACGGCTCCTCCACACGGGTCACCTGGAGGAGACAAAAGACGTTTAACTCGGTCTGTAACTTGGTCTGGTTTGGTCTCCATGATAGTAGAAAGGTTTAATACCAGACTGTGAAACATTCCAGACAAAGCAATGACGTTTCTATGGAGAAAAGCATTTGACGGACCCTCCACCAGAAAAGTTTAAATTTTTAAATATTTGTTCTTACCACAATGGTGCCCTCTCGCCCATGGTTCTTGTGAAACTGCAGCAGGTCAGTGAAGGGAAAGTCACAGATCACATCCGAGTTCAGCACAAAAAACGGTTCACTGTCCACGTTTAACAAATCCCGGGCCAGAGCCAATGGACCCGCTAGGGGCAGAATACACAGGAATATATTTTTACTTACTTAAATTCTAATATTTGGTTTAAATTTTCATATTGTTAAAATTAAAAAACAGAACAAAATACACATAAAGTTGTTTTTTTCTTTTTATATATTATGCAAAAATTCAGTAATCCTTTATTATTAGTCTGTCTACATTTCCAAAGCTCAAAATGCTCTGTTTCAGCTTGTGATATAATGAGGTGGTAGTTTTCAAGTTAACAGTTACATTTTGTCTTTTTCTTTGTGCAGATGGGCAAATCCAGGGCTGAAATTATCCAATTGATTCTAATGAAGGTGCATGGAATTTAAAAACAAAGTGGAGCACTTCCTGTATTGCCACTGACATCACAAGGTGGAACAGTGTTTTCTGTTTGAGAGAAGAACTCAGCCTTAATATTCAGGGTTTGTGTTAAACATGTGTGAATGAAACAAAATATAACTCCAGATATGTTTGCGATATAACAGATCAGACAATAGCCTAATACAGGCCTTTTGAATACTTGTTAGAATTTTCATAATGTTAAAATATAAACAAAACAGAATTATAAATAAATACTGAGAAAATCTGTAACTGTCAACCTAAACCTATTTATTTTTTTAGTTTAGATTATGAAATTATTCTAATTTTTAATGGCAAGACTCAAACAATTTGATTCTGAATTTGTGGAAAGAACTGAAGCACAAAGTGATGGCGAGGAATCAGTTAACTGTGATTAAAATTTAAATGTCTAAACACAACTATATAAGTAACTATAATTATACAAGAAAAACTACATTAACATTATTTTATTGGTGTGTGTGTGAAGAATATTTCTGGATGTTATGATTTGTTATGTCCAATGTCTTCCTTATTGTCTGTTTAATACCAAAAAAATATCAGTGACAAGAAAAAAAAAATGCAAAATGAAATAATGATGATGATATTTGCATAGTTCAAAAGAGACAAATTACCATGCATAACACAAACTGAATTTGTATACTGTATATTGAGGTGATGCATTTGAATAGTATGTGCTGTCCTTTCCCCCAAGAAGTTCTAAACAGGTCTGAAACTGGTCTAAAAACAGGTCTAACCCTGACTGACCTGTTCCTAGAGGCTCCTTCTCATGAGACAGGGAGATCTTGATTCCAAGCTGAAAAACAGAAACCAAAAATAGTCAGTTTTGGTTCAAATCACTTTCTAAAATGTCTTATTATTATCAACATTATTATGACTCTTCCAAGATTTTCCATGTTTTTGTCCTCACCCTCTCCTCTTGGATCCTCATTTCTCGCTCCAGCAGTTCGGACATGTAGCTAACCGCCAGAATAACATGGTCCACTCCGGCCTAAAATTACAGAAAAAAACATCTGTTAAAGGTGCAGTGTGTAACTTTTCAGGTGGAAGGTCCATTAATTCTTTTTCTCAATGGAGAGAATGAAACAAAACACAAATCCAGGTATGTTTTTGATGAGGATACAACATTATAACATAGATATAACATAGAAAATAGAATAATATGGGCCCTTTAAGATCTTTTCCACAGTTTCTCACCTTGACCAGAGCCTCGACTTGGTGCATGAGGATGGGTTTGTTACAGAAGTCCACCAGAGGTTTAGGGACGCTCAAAGTGAGAGGCCGCAACCGGGTCCCATATCCGCCGACCAGGATCAGAGCCTTCATCTTTGACCTGCATCATGACAAGAATACAATTAATACAGATTCAGAACTATTAGGTAAACTGTGAGACATATTTTGACATACAGCACTTTCAATATTAATTTAACACGACCCCAGAATAGTCTGTTCTTTAAAATATGGGCAGTAGTATTAGTAGTAAGTAGTAGTAGCAAAAGGCAATATAGTGCAGTAAAAGTGAAATCTCGAAACACACCAAATCATGGCCGTGGTAGTGGAAATGGTAGTAGTAGCAGTAGTAGTAGTAGTAGTAAGAAGTGGGTGGATATTTGATTACTATTCCACAACATACTAGTCCTCTGACAGATTCTGTCTCTTGTCTTTCTATACAGATTAAATAACATAAATAACATCAATTGTATTTTCTGTTCTTATGAGATATATATATATATATATATATATATATATATATATATATATATATATATATATATATATATATATATATATATATATATATATATATATATATATATATATATATATATGTATATATAACAGGGGGAAAGTCTTATCTGCTTTCATGCCCGGGAGTCACTGAAACCAGAGGAACCTGTTTACAAATCACCATCTTTGGCTACAGTGATATTCAGTGATTTCCCCCTCTCTCTAACCCTAAAAAAGCTATTGCACTGAGCTGTAACAAGGCTATAACAAAGCTATTATCATCCACAAGGTCACATATTAATATAACTCTATAGTATATTACATTTGGGGATGCAGATAATAGTAAGGACATGATGGTAACAGTGCAATTATAAGATTAAACACACTGAATACACAAACATGAACAGGATATGAATTGTCCAGGCAGAGAATTCCGTTCAGCACACAGACTGTATGGTTCAGCATCTACATTATCAGCTGATTGAACATCACGTGGCAGCCTAAAAAGGAGTAATCACTGGAGTAATTCACAAATACTTTATTACGGGTAAACGAGCTCATGCGTTTCATTGCCTTTTAACACTTAAGAGACTCATTAGAAACCAAAATAGACCTGCAGTCTCTATCGAAGGAACATTCCAGTGAGTGTTATGAATGTGAACTGATTTCCCCTTCGTGTTTATTACGAGGCTTTGAACAGGTGCAGATTCCCAAACAGAAATACAATACAGCGAAGACATTACAGTTCAACGCTAAAGTACTACTAACCCACTTTGTGACGTCAATTTTACAGAAGAAATGAAGAACATACATTTTTAGTCCAAAGTGATCTTTGATTGAGCACCTAACTTTGGGGTAACAGAGTACTACGCTCATTTTTATCTAAATTCCGACTAATTATAAAAGAATGACACCTTCCAATACAATATATGTGTATAAAAATGAACCTTACCGTAGAAAAGCCTCCCAAAAAGTCTGTAAAGTCTGCGGCAAAATTATGAATCACTGAATGACACGTCGAGCGTTCAAATCCGGATTCGCTTTTGTTTGGCTTCCGGATCAGCGGCGGCGTAGTGACGTGTCATATCCGGCAAACTCAAAACAAAGGAATAATAAATAAATAAAATAAAATGGGGAAATAAACCCCAGTTTTTATTATTATTATGACTTCATAATTTAAAACATAAAACTCGTATCATTAAATATTATAAGAGTGTTTGGGACATTTTGTAACAGAATACACAACTGCTCAGCTGTTCCCCTTAGCAACCGTTGCTACCAAGCGTACTACAGCCACGCCCCGTTCAGCAGTTTGACCAATCAGAGCACAACAGCGTGGCTGTTGTCATTGGACAGGATTTGTGAATGAAGAAAGTCAAAAAAAGAAATGAAAAAACAAACACACATTTTTAAACCCTAATATTTATTTATTTTTTCCTTCAAATATTTTCTACCATGGGTTTTAAAATTTACTGTTTAATGAATTTAAAGGATTGATTGATTTATCTTATCCAACGAGAAGAAAAAAGTACAGAGGAATAAATTTAACCTTTTCTCTTATCAGATTAGCTGGGAATCTAGGTTAAAAACTTTTATTGTTTAAATACACAGCAATATTTGTGCAAACAATTCTTAGATGGGTCAACAAATAGTACAACATAGAACCATTTTATGCTTGCAAATTGCAGGGCTGTACAAAAGTGTGAAAGGTGTGTTATGAATTTATTCTGGACAAACACCTCAAAAGAGACATACTAATATGTTGTTATTAAATCTTGTTTAATTTAGAGAGCCCACATTTTAGGACACCCAAGCAATGTCACAATATCAAAAGACAGAAACAGACAAATGCATTGTCTCTCCTTAAAAAAGAATGGAACCTGGAACATTCTGTGGTGCAAACCAAACTTCATCATTAATAAAGAGGTAACTGAAGATTCCCACATCGACCTTGAAAATTCATACACAACCTTTTTTTTCCGAAAATGACGTCAATTCAGTAAATAAGAAGGGTAAACCTTGCAGACATTGCATCAGCAGCTTAAAGGCATTAAGACTCTACAGCGTGTCACAAACCAGTGGAAGATAGTGGATAAGTCTGGATAATGTGTATTAATGTTGTATTTTTAGGTGTTATTGTTTGTTTTGGGGGCTCCAGAGCAGGTCACAGACTAAAGAGATGTGGTCAGATGGGTGAGAGACACTGGGCAGAGCCTCATATGTGGTCACCTCCTCATGAGATGGCAGTGGGATCACCTGCGCCACCTACAGGACAACAAAAGCAGCTGCGTTACATGCCTGTTAATAAAAGAAGTTACAGTGGAGTGCAAAGTTAATAACAATAACAATGCAGTTCATAACATGTTTGCAGAGGCCTAAATTAAAAGGTACAACATATTGACCAAAACATATGTTAAAATGCTAATGTGTGCATTGTGTCACCAAGGCAACCTCAAAACATTCCACCATTAGAGATACATGTAGGGCACCCCCAGGACACTTTAATTATTAATTGTGATGATACTGATGGTTACCGTATTTTCCGGGTCATTAGGCACGCTCTTAAGCCTCTAACCGCATCAAAAAACGACCGCACGCCCCACAATCCACAGCGCCCCATACATGAATCCACTCGGGTGTTCCAGTGTTCAGTAAACTATAAAGCCGCACCACCTGCAGCGCACGCAAACACACACGGAGCAGACAGTGACCGCGCAGCGAAACACACCCACAGACACACTCATCACTCCACGCCGACGAGGAACGGAACGGAGGAACGAACTGAAAAAGCAAGTCAAATGTGCCTTTCTGAGTCACAACTGAACAACTGAGTCACTGCGAACACGCTGACAATCCAGTGGTCCCAGACAGCACCCTCCCTACACGCCACAACTGAACAAAGCCCAGAGTCACCGTGAACGCGACAAACAAAGACCCACTGACCCATCCAACTCTTGTGTTTCGTTTAAAGTCGGGTGCGGTTTATTTGTGAAAAAAGTTTGAAAATAGAGCATTTAATGACAGTGCGTCTTATAATCCAGAGCGCCTAATAGCCCGTAAAATACGATAATTGTGCAAATATCACTCTTCTTTTCCACATGAGTCAAAAATACCTTCATGTGGTCCGGTTGGATGTAGATGTAGTCCAGGCAGCCTTTGAATCCCCCCACGTAGTTTGTGTACGGAGGCGTCCCACAGGCGGAGAGGAGAGGGGGGAACGGAGAGGCCAGGTCCATGGGGCAGTGATGGTCCAGACCAGAGCTGAGCCAGTCTGAGTGAGACTGAGGGATGGAGGAGTGTGTCAACAACTCACACACACCTGAAGAGAGAGGGAGAGAGGGGGAGAGAAAGGAAGGAGAGAGGAAGAGAGTGGGAGAGAGGGATGTAGGGGGAGAGAAGAGAGAGAGAGAGAGGGAGGGGAGGAGAGAGGGAGAGAAAGAAGAAAAAGAGGGAGGGGAGAAAAGAGGGAGAGGAAGAGAGAGGGAGGGAGGAAGTGAAAGAAGGGATGGCAAATAGAAAACAGGGGTTTTTGATTGAAAGAAAAGGAGAAAAGATGAAAAGAGAGAAAAAGAGGAAATAGAAGGGGGTGGCACAAGGAGGACAAAGAAAAACAAGAGGGGGAGAATGAGAAAGAGAGAGGGGGAAAGAGACAGAGTAATAAGGAGGAAGGGAGGGGATGCAAATGGAAAGAGAAGGAAAAAGAAGGAAAGAAAAAGATGGAAAAGGGGGTTGAGAGAGAGAAAGCGAGAAAGAAAAAACTAAGAAAAGAGGGAGGGGAGAGAGAAAGAGAGTGATGGGATAAGAATGGGAGAGAGAGGGAAAGAGTAGACAGGAGAGATAAAGAAAACGCAAGAGGGGAAGATAGAGAGAAAGAGATGGAGAGAGGAGGCAGAGAGGGGGAAAAGGGAGAGAAAGAAAGTTTTAGCATTCTTGTGATTATTTTATTCTGGACAGATTTCCTTCAGATGCTCCTGTTTCACTTTGCTCTCAGTAAATTTGCACAGTAAAGATAAATTACAATTTTAAAATAAAGTATATTTGAAAGAACCCAGGCCACCCTAGAACATGGTGTGGATTTAACCAAAGGTAGGGGACTTTGTAAATGAAAAAACAACTCTGCATTATCTTATTTTAGACTCCAAACCAAGTGTCGTTGGCAAATAACAAAAAAAGCTCCCATCATCTTATTGATAAAGGCAACTGATTTTTGTATTTTCCTGAAAACCTTGAAAAATGACTTGGGTAATTACACTGTGAGGCTGGTGCTTTTACCTGAGTGTGGAGTGGAGTTGAAGTCTCCACAAAAGACCAGGGCCGCTCCAGGTGAGACGGTGCTGATCACATGACCCAGGTGAGTAAGAGCCACGCCCATCTGCACCAGACGCACATTGCCACCTGCGGACAGAAGAGGGCGCAAGAATAAAGCTCTAGCTACTCTTTGTCAAATCTATTTCAACCAGTGCTTTTCAAGAGATACCCAAAGATGCATTACACATAAAGTACAAATACAATATAGATATACAATACAAGTATACAAGATTATTATCTGAAATACTATGATTTGAGGGAGTGTCAGTTTTTAGCACACTGTGTTTATTGTGGACTAATTATGACGCATTAGCATTATTTGTCCAGATTTTGTGTAACTGTAGACTCTCAAACTACCCATCTAAGGAACATTTAGAGTATATTTTAGCCCATAGTTTTATAACTTTCCAGGGCTCATATTGTGATATTCTCTGAGCTATGTTCTATAATGTCGTTTCCTCATCACTGACATACTTGGAGTTGTGTTTTGAAAAAAAATAAAAATAAAATTTGGTGTAATATATAACCCTTATTGTGGTGATGAGGAAATTATAGTCCCATTATCTCATTACACTGTGCGTGTTTTTGTTACCTGTGGGGTGCCAGTACAGGTGAGTGTTGGCCACACAGAGGGAGCGCTCAGGCTGGAGCAGGTCCTGGAGAACAGACACCTGCAGAGACGTGGACCTCTGGAGGACCTTCTCCTTTAAGTCCGGCTTAGAGCTCAGGTTTTGGAGTAAGTCTGAGTGAAGAGAGTCTGAGCCCAAAGCCTCACTCAAAACCACGTCATGAGAACTCAGCAAACGGAAACGAGACCTGCACAGAGGGAGCAGGGTCAAAGGCTCATTACTGTAAATATTACTATACATCTGTGTTAATAGCCAACAAAAAGTTAATAAGTTGTCTTCTTCTCATTTCTCTGAGTAACAGATAAAGTATACATGATCTGAGAGAAATACAGGACTACAATCATACCATACTCCATATAACTGAACAACAACTCACGCTTATGTAACAGATAATACTCCCTACAACTGTACAACAACTCACCCTTATGTAACAGATAATACTCCCTACAACTGTACAACGACTCACCCTTATGTAACAGCTAACCCTATCTCCTGTCAATCATCATATGATCTTTGCACTGTTTTTCCTAAAGACCTCTTGTATATAGCTGAGTGATATATTTTTTAGGGCTGGGCAAAAATGTAAAAATTTAATCACGATTAATCGCATGAGTTCGAGCGATTAATCGCGATTAATCGCATGTTATATGCAAAACCAATTAATGAATTAAAAAGTAGAGTATAGCGCACTTTTACTGGAAATGTAAATGAAAGAGCCACACATTTGTTGTGCAAACAGCATTTCTTTCACAGGGGAACCTCAGAGCCTTCAAAGTGTTCAGGGAAGGCTCAAGAAAAAATATTGAATGGACGTTTGTACTACTAATATATTTATTGAATATTTTTTATGCTGTGAGTAATGAACACTACACTAGTAATAATTTCTAGATCAGTGTTATAAACTTGGACTGATATTTCTTAGGAAACAAAGGGTTAATATAATGGAATGGAAATGGACCAATCACATTTTTTCTTCCAATGGTATCTGGGTAAATCAGTTACTCCAGCACTGAACTAAAGAAATAAGCTCAGCTCAGAGCTGGAGCCTGCAGCCGAACCCCGCGCTGGGCCCGCGGCTCGCGGAGGCTTGGGCACGTTGCATCTCACGTGGTCAGAAAAAAGTGAAAAAAGTGTAAAGAAAAGACGTCAAACTTAAAGAAATGCTTGCGGTGGACTTTTTCAAAATAAAAGCCAGTGAGAAATAGACGTTTACAATAAAATAAATAAATAAATAATATAAAAGACTGCGTTAACGGTGTTAAAGTAATTGTCGGCGTTAATGACTTAATTAGTTAACGCAAAGTTAACGCGTTAACGTGCCCGGCCCTAATATTTTTATTACTTTATTTCTATATTTTATTTTCCCTTGTACATATACATTTATATAATTATGCTTTATTTGACACCAGTCTCTTGTTACTTCCCCAGCATCATTCCCCAGGGAACATTTCGCAGGGAATGTTGACATCAGCGGCAAAGTTGCACATGTTGTTTTGGAATGCACACTTTCAATACTTTTGACTATATGCACTTAATTGTATTTTAAAACTAATTGATCAACTGTGAGATAAAGTTAATTAAAAAACTGATTAAAACATATATTTTACTTTATCTTGTTTAGTCCAGAATTATTAAGATGGAGCTCTGTAATGAGGTTCTGTTCATCTATTCTATCCTAAATGTTTAGGAAAACGGAATGGCCATTTTACATCACGACATGACAACTTGCATTTTTAAAGTATAAAATCAGGTCAAACCTGCGGAAGAAAGTGGCCAGTCCTTCATGCTGTTTCTCTTTGATCCTGAAAACTCCATCGAAACCGAAAGCATCCATCGCAGGGGACAGACTATCCTCAAAGACTCCTGACAAAATGCACACAGAAAGACAGGAAAAATATATTAAATGTTAAATACTAGATATAAATATAGAACACAGTGATATCACACCTCATAGAATTTTCAATGAGCCTAATGTTAAACCAGTGGAGATTTTACGATGCTTCAGAGTGCTAAACGTATTTACCAGAAGTGATCCAATTAAATCATTTTCCCAACATACTCTCGAGATGTGTGAAGAATCCCTCAGTCGTCCAGGTAGAATCAATGGCGAGGAGAAAATTCTGTTTGTCGACTGGACAAAAGTTAGTTAGGTTGAAGACGTTTGTGAGCTGCGAAACGTCTTCAACCTAACAAACTTTTGTCCAGTCGACAAACTGAATTTTCTCCTCGCCTTCCCAACATACTGAAAAAATCACAATTATCAATTAAAAACACATTTTTTTCATATTTACCGTATATATTCCAGGGCTGAAATGCTCTAGTGAAGGTTTAAAAACATCCTGTGTTACCATATGACATCACAAGGTGGAACAGAGTGTTTTCCATTTGAGAGAAGAGCCTAAATGTGCAGGGTTTGTGTGTTAAACATGTGTGAATGAAACAAAACAACTCCAGGTATGTTTGTAATGAGGAAACAACATTATAAGATATATTCATTCCTCCTCCACTCAGCCCCTACACCCTGGAACTCACTCCCTCTATGCAAACAAATCACTGATCAGTTCAAATCACTTCTCAAAGCATTTCTGTATAAACTGGCCTTTAATTTCACCTAACCGCTCCCATGTTTGTGTGTGTGCGTGTGTATGTATGTGACAGTGTGGTCTGTGTGTTATTGTGAATCACTTTGGGTGTCTTGAAAAGTGCTATATAAATGGAAGGTAGATCAACTCTCACAAGATCTCACAAGACAAAATTGCCACAAGATTGTGCATACATGAGCAAAATGAGCTTGTGAGATTTTTTTTCCATATGTTTCCATTTGGTTTGGATAAAAAAGGGTGAGTTACATCTCTTTCAGCTCCCAAGAGCAGCATTAGAATGGCCACAAAATTATTAAATAAAACATTGTGATGCCTAAAATTGGAAACTGAATTGCAGTTTACATATTAGGAATTATGTTAAAATCTCGTTTTGAACCAATCTCATATCTCGTCTTGAAATAGTTTTGTCCCATTCCAAATAGAAGGTATTATTACCATAAATATTCATGTCTGCGTCTCTTGAATCCTCACCTTTGTCGACTTCCTGGAGACAGATGAGGTCAGCGTTATAGCCGGACAGTTCCTTCCTGATGAGGTTGATCCTGTAGTCCAGCTCCAGGGCATAGGGGGCGCAATAGGGGTACAGGACCGTTTTAGACAGTTCGGTCTGAGCGTAAACGTCCGCCAAAATGTTGTAAGACACAACTCTGACCTCCGGCCACTGCGTCTGCTGCTGCGTGAAGAGGTGCCTGCAGAAAGAGAACAATCATACGTTTATCAGACGGCATTCAAAAATATGAAGCTAATATTTTCTCATCTTCTTATCCGTACGTTGCAGTGACATGACGCTGAGGTTGTTCTACATGTACCTCTATAGACAGAATATTCAGCATTTGCCGTGGTGACATAAGGCAAACTTTAGTAAACACTGACAAAAAGTTTTAAGATCATCTGAAAATTCAAGAAACCAGCTCACTTGTTGTAGTTCCATCTCATTTCTTTCTGATCAGATTGTGTTAAAACAAAGCTCAGATCAAGTCTAACTTTAGAAACTGATTTTCAGACAGAGTAATGCTTTCAGTTTTTTCCTGATGACATTAGCTGCAGATTATCAATATACTTGGACCTTTCAACTGAGATAGTAAACCCTTGTCCTAATTGTATTGTAATTGTTAACTTCTAGGGTGGTATAAATATAAAGACTAATAATAAAGAATTACTCAAACACGTGTGAATGAAACAAAACAAAATTCTGGGTTTGTTTTGAGGAGATTACAACATTATAACATGACAGCTCACAAGAATCTATTTTGTGCAATATAAAACCTTGACAAAACAAAATAAAAATGCACTTCAGGATCACTACTTTTAGCGAGTAGACTGAATTTAAGTAACAGTTTTTGCTTATAAAATCATCATGTTTATCAGTTCTTATTTTTTAGTTCTTCTGATTCTGACCTGAATAATCACAATTATAATCTGTCAAAAACAAACACATCTTTTCAGAGCACACACCGAGTGTCAAAAGTGCACGTCCCCGGTCCGGCCTCTATAGATCCCTCCGACTGCAGCTCTTTGATCAAACCAGTCCTCGTCCCGTCTTTGGGTAAACAGCGGAGTTGGAGTCTGCTCCCAATGTCTTCATTAGAGGGGACGAAAACTCGACCAGAACCGACTTCAACCCAATTCTCACCTGAACCTACACTGGAAAAAGCAACAGAAAAATACTGTTTAGATTTAAAGTGGCATTTTGATCTTTTAAAGGTGCATTGTGTAACCTTTTTGGTGGAGGTCCATCATCTGCCTGTTTCTACGGATATATCATTGCTCTGCCTGAAATATTCAACAGTATGATATTAAACATCCCTAACTTTCATTTATTCAATTATAGGTGGTTTTATAGCTCAAAAATACCTAGAAAAACAGGCATTCTGATTATGAGCGGGGTTGTCTCTCCACAGATCTGACCTGTAACTTGATCTTGTTTGGTTTCAATGAAAATAGAAAGGTTTAATACCATACTGTGAAACTTTCCAGACAAAGCAAAGACAACTGGCTAGAGAAAAGCATTTATCAGACACTCCACCCAAAATGCACCTTTTATGTTTAAGGGCATTGTTCTTAAGACAGAAACAAAATAAAACATATTCTGAACTTATTATTGCTGGGCCAAGTTAGAATCATTTTTCTGACTATATATTTGAAAAGCATTGATTAATTAAGGTATTACTTAATAGAAATTTTTATCTTTTATACTTCAGCTCAATCAGCTTACCCACAAACATCTGTCAATCTAACCCTAAAGCCCACACACACAGAGTTCCCATAACGCTAATAATTCACATACATTTGTAGTCACAGTTGGCCGAGAGCAGACTAACGCATGCAGTGTTGGGGAGTAACGGATTACATGTACCAGAGTTACGTAATCAGAGTACAAATTATGAGTAACTGTATTCAGTTACAGTTACTGTTTCAGTGAGTGGTAATTGGATTACAGTTACAGTTACTTTGTTGAAATAAATGGATTACACGGCGGTATTTTCCTGTTTTCACATTTTTGGGCTATATCCCCCCCCCCCCCCCGGTAATTTCACTCATTGCCGGACACTAAACCAGGACTAAACCAGGTCTAAACCAGGTCTAAACCAGGACTAAAACAAGGACTAAAACAGGACTAAACCAGGATTTAATAGGACTAAACCAGGACTAAAACCAGGACTAAAACAGGACCAAACCAGATCTAAACCAGTATTAAAACCAGGACTAAACCAAGACTAAAACCAGGAACAAAACAAGGACTAAAACAGGACTAAACCAGGATTTAACAGGACTAAACCAGCACTAAAACCAAGACTAAAACCAGGACTAAACCAGGACTAAAACAACTAAAACAAATACTAAAACAGGATTTAACAGGACTAAACCATGCTGCCATGTCTCCTCCTCTTCTTCAATGATATTTTTAATTTGGTTAAGTAAAGTTAAGTAAAGTAAAGTCTGGGCTTTTTATTTTCTTTTAGCAGACAAAACATCTTATTTCAAAATATCCTCATCTTTGCTTCTCTACAGCAAATCAAGTAATCCAAAGTATTCAGATTACGTTACTCACTATAAGTAATTTAATGGATAATGTTACAAACTACATTTTGGGGTATGTAATCTGTAATCTGTAGGGGAATACACTTTAAAAGTCACCTTCCCAACACTGAACGCATGGCAGTGAATCTGTGCCTTCAACCTCTCTGACCATCAATCATATCATGTCATACAAGGTGGTAGGTGTGTGTGATGTGTCTTCTTGCCCAAGAACACAACAGCAATGTTCAAGGTTGAAAGTACGGATTGGACTGCCGACCTCTGAATTTGAGGTCAGCGTAATACCAAGTGAGCTACAACAATTTTTGTCATAACTGCTTTATAAACACATAAAAAGGTCAATTATTTAAAGGGCCCATATAACACCATTTTATATATATATATATATATATATATATATATATATATATATATATATATATATATATATATATATATATATATATATATATATATATATATATCTGTTATAATGTTGTTTCCTCATCCCAAACAGACCTGGACTTGTGTTTTGTTTCATTCACACTAACCCTGCATATTTAGGCTGAGTTTTCAAACCGAAAACACTCAATCTCTACTAAAGGTAGCTGTTGAAAACTACCACTACATGACTTCACAAGGTAGCACAGAACATTTTGAGCTTTGGAGACAGATAAATAAACTAGGATAATGAAACAAAGCTCAACTCCAGGCATGTTTTTGATGAGGTGACAGCGTTTATAACATGACCATAACAAGACCTTTAAGACCCTACTACACCTCTTCTACAAGTAAGTACTGTACCATTTTTCCTTGAACCACGTGAACTCGCAGTCTTCCATCTTCCCAAACTCCAGCTGCAGTTTGGGGCAGACGGGGAACCCAGCCATGAGGGACCGGGGCAGCTCCGCGGAGGTGAAGGTGGGCGCGTTCCTCATCACCGCGTACCGAACCTCCCCCACACACAGCACCGCTCCGTCCCTCCAGGCCTCCGAGTTCAACACCGACTCCTCCACCGGCTCCTCCCCGAACAGCAGCTTCACTTCCGCGGCGGGCTGCGCACCATCACTCGGCTCCTCTCCGCGCTTCTTCTTCTTCTTGCCCTTGCCCTGGTTCTTGGTGAGGTTGTGGCCGATCCGCGTCAGGACTTTCCCCACGGGCTCGTCCTGGTCCCGGAGCATGTGTTTGTGGCTCCCGTCCAAGCAGAAGGAGATGGTGAGTTTGGGCTCCCCGGGCAGGCATCGCACCACGGCCGACTGCATCGCGCCCTGCTGCGGCCACGCTGAGCTCCGAGTCCCCGCTGAAGAGAGGAGGAACAGGCGGCGGTGAGAGCGGCAGGCAGCAGCGGTGAAGCGACTGAACATCAAGCCCGAGACGAGAGAAGCTTTAATAAACTTTACCTCCCAAAAAAGCACAATATTTACCGGATTATTTCATTGTTTTTGTAGAAAGTCCCTCAATGTTTCAGCTGTGGAGTTCAGAATGTTCTGCGCAAGCGTGAGCCGGCTGTCATGTGCGGTAAGGCAACACCACTTGGACAAACAAAAAGTCAATTTAATAATTAATTATTTTTTTTTTATACTTCATATCCCAGATACAAACAAAAAGCCACCACACAAAAATCACATCCAAACCTAGTAAGAAAAAAAAATAAAAATAAAAAATCACAGTTGTGAAGAAAAATCAAAACAAAAATACATTCATGAACGAACCACGGGGGCAAATTCTGAAGCATGTAATCAAAAGAACAAATTGACATCATTCAAAAAAGAGACAAGAAACCCAGCTTCTCTTTTTTCAGGTTTATCAGGTTCAGTGAGTCAACAAAAATTCTTAGGTCATTACTAAAGTACGTTATATCTGGTTTTACCTTAAAACATCGACATTTGTGAAACAAAAAGTCAATTTCAGAAATACAAAACGATACCCTGTATGTACAAAATACAGGTTTAAAGTGATTAAACATCCGACATAAAAAAAAAAAGACATAAAATCCGAGATTGTACCTACGAAAGAGCATTGTAGTCAGTGTATGTACCAGAGCTGAGACTCGCCCGTAGTGACCAGGGACCCTCGCCATGACGTAGCAATGTGAAATTTGACACAGAAGTCGATCATGTCAAGACAAGGAAAAAATATAATTACGCCAACACCGTGTGCTCCACTAGGGGGCAGTAATATCGGCTTAAATTTGGCTAAGCTTTTACAAACTCCTCCAAGGATGTTCACATGAACGAGCTCAAATTTGGTCCACATTATCTCAAGACGTGGAACATCAAAAGTTATCCACATTTTTTACACACGTCTTACGGTCTCTGAGCAGTGAAGCAACAAAAATGCACACAATTTTGGAGATTTACAAATTGCTCCCATTTGCTCAAACGAACTCCGATTTCAATGAAATTTGAAACAGTTGTTAAACTCACTGCCCTGAAGCTACTTAATGTGAAAATTATTAATTTGATGCATTAGCGCCCCCTATAGATTGAAACAAAAAATAATATGGGAAAAAATCATTTGTTCCCAAATAGTTGTTCAAAAATGTCTAAAATTTTGCACAAAATTCCATTTTGGCATCCTGATCCAAAATTCAATGACACCCATGTCATATTTTTTATGGCTGTTGCCATAGCGATGACATAAACTCTCCATTGGTAAAATCTACAAATTCTGGCACAAACTTTGGCCGATTTCACTCAAATTTTAATCGCGGGTTCACACCCTGACCCTGAACAGATTTTTATAAGAAAACCTCAGATGGGTGCAATAGCGTCCCCTAGGGAAATTGCATGGTAGTGCAAAAATTTACTTTGTCATAGACATATTAAATTTGGTACACAGATTCATGACATGGTCTCGATCAAAAAAGTCAATGACAACCCCATGCCATTTCCCATCATGATGCCATGGCGACAGGCCAAACATCTGCCCTCACCAATAGGACGCCCAAGAAAAACTTTGGCGTAGCCAAACCAAATTTGATACACAGATGCATCATGGGAATAGGAACAAAAAAGTATATTATGTGGTTGCTAGGCAACCAACAGGAAATCGGCCATATTGGATTGATCGTGCGACCTGTCCTCGTACTTGAACGAAACTCGTCCTTAGGGCGTTTGACCCAGACAGAATCATTCTGTCTCATCTAGACAAGTGGGACATTAAAATTTGTTAAAAGCTTTTTTAAAAGGTCAAACGGTGTTGCCGTGGCAACTGTGCAAATTTCGGGTTCATTTTTGGGGCTCACCATCAAACTTCGACACCTGATAACTTGCACAAACTTTGGCTGATTTCACTCAAATTTTAATCCTGAGTTCACACCTCAACCCTGAACAGATTGATGTAAGAAAATACAAAAATGGGTGCAATAGCGCCCCCTAGAAAATTTGTATGTAAAAATTAGGTTTTATTTGTCACAGATATACAACATTTGGTACCCACATTTGTGACATGGTCTTGATTAAAAAACTCAATGATGCCCACACCCCATTTACATTGTGTTGCTATGGCATCAAGCCAAAATTGTATCCTTGCCAATGGGACGTCTTTACACAAATGTTGGCGTAGCCAAACCAAATTTGGTAGCCAGATGCATCATGGCAATAAGAACAAAAATGTATATTGTGACCACGCCCCTTTCAAACCGGAAGTCCGCCATCTTTGATTTTTATATTATTTTTATTTTTTTTTTTCCAAATTTGGAAAATTGCAGGGTTAAATTAAGATTTAAAGGGCTAGGGTTCGGGCTATGGTTAGGATTACGATTAGGGTAAGGTTTAACCTCAGGCTTATTAGGGTCAGTGTGACATGCAGAGTTTTGTGGGGCGCTGCGTTTGCGGGGCGCGGCGTTTGCGGGGCGCGGCGTTTGCGGGGCGCGGCGTTTGCGGGGCACAGCGTAAGCGGTACGCAGCGTTAGCGGGACGCAGCGTAAGCGGGACGCAGCGTAAGCACGTGTGAGGGCCGATCATTGCCGCTTGCGGCTATATGTATTATTATTATTATTATTATTATTATTATTATTATTATTATTATTATATTTTCCATTTGACTCAACAGTGTATCTTTATCTTTGTGGAATATCTATGCAAGATTCTTTTTTTTGGTCCTTGGTTTGCCAACACTGTCAAATTCCTTATCCCTTCTGTCACCCATGTTTATAAGCCTATAGGTTATGGTTTGTTATTTGTCATAATAATAATTCACTACATTTAAGAGATATTCAGCTTCTTGGGCCAAACTGAGGACAAACTTTTGAGAAAGAAAACAGAACATTATTATTTTTTGTATTTTTATTATTTTATTACAAAGGTAAAAACAGACAACAAGCTACATTATGGAGGTAGAATTTACTTACAAAACAAAAACATTAGCCCTTTACTCCTGGTTCAGCCTATACTCAGCCCTGTTTTATCCCAGCTACAGGACATATTTCTGGGCCGAGCAGTGGAGGTGGTGCGGGGATTTGCTGGCGCTCTGATAGCTTTCCCGCTCCTCTAGGTCCCTGAGGTGCAGCAGCAAGTGAAAGGCGTAGGCTAAAACCAGGAGCAGGATCAGAGAGGAGAGGAGCCCCATCAGGAGAGCCGGGGTCAGGAAGGTTGCACAGTCCACGGGGTGAGAGAAAATCCCAGAGGAGACGGAAAATGCTTGGATCTGTGAGAGAGGAGAGAGAGAAAGATGATTAAAGGTCCTATATTACACGAAATATTCTGAACTTTAAATCATGTTATAATGTTATTACCTTATCAGAAACATATATGGAGTTGTGTTTTGATTCGTTCACACACATTTGATTAATCCTGCATTCTTAGTCTGTCTACATCTCCAAAGTTCAAAATGCTCTGTTCCACCTTGTGATGTCAGTAGTAGTAGTAGTAGTTTCAAGTTAACAGCTCCCTTTTACTTTTTGTTCAGAAAAAAGAGAGATTGAGAGATTTTCAGGGCTGAACTCATCCAAATGATTCTACTGAAGGTGTACTGAGTTTAAAAGGTTTTAAAGTGGAACAGAGTGTTTTGAGTTTAAGAGAAAAGCACAGACTAAATATGCAGGGGTTAAACGTGTGTGAATGAAACCAAACACGACTGATGAGAAAATAGTATGGGTTCTTTAAGGACTGAGAGTGGGGATAAGAAGGAGGGATGAATCATGGAAGAAGGAAGGAGAGAGTTTAGAAGGAAATGATTAATGGAGGAGAAAAAGATAGAAGAGAGAGGAAAAGAAAGAGGGATGTAAGAAGGGAGGGAGAGAGGGAGTCAGGGAAAGAGATTATTACAGAAAGAGAGTGTTGAGGAAAATAACCCTTTTCCTCGCGTGTTCGTTAGTTTCTGCTTAGACAAAAAATTACACTTGAAACAGAAATAAAATCCAGATAATTTACTTATTCCAATATTAGAAAAGTCATACTTGTACAAGGAGTCTGTGCTGACATTCCCATGCAGAGACTGAATATTTACGCCTATACAATGATTTTTATACGCAAACTATAGTGGGAGGCGACCGTGGTTTAGACTTAGTGCCTCTTCGTTGGTGCACAGACCAGCCAGGCCTCTTGGCACGTGGCACAATCTTATCCGATTGTGACAACGGATCCCCCGGATTCATCTCACTTCCCTTACGGGAGCGTCTTGCTGGTCTGATCAGGGTGATGAGTCGTAAGTCAGCATATCCCTATCAGTAAGTCCTTGCCCTATTTAGTTAATTGATTAGACAAATAGATAGAAATAGAATATCTTGTACGTGAACTGCATCCCTCAGCTGTAGTCTAGTCCCTGTTTTCTGGGTCATTGTATAGTGAATTATAATAGTACAATAATAAAATATAGCAGTACATCAATAACATCATAGCAGTAGTTATACACCACCTAAGTCTAGTCATTTATCCTAACAAGAGAAAGATAGAAAAGAGGAAAGGGAGGGATGGAAGGTGAGGGGGAGACAGAGGGAATTAGCGAAAACCCCATGGCCTGATAGTTACCTGGAAGTGTGTGAAGGTGAGGGCCCAGTCATGAGCATGCTCAGTGGGGCTCAGGAGGCCGTTGTATTTCTGCAGACTGCTGATGTGCTCACAGCTGAAGGAGGACGACTCAGGGCTGTAGATCTGAGACGAGTTAAACGCCAGCCTCTGAGTGGAGTTAAACTGCACCAAGACAGAGTCCAACGAAAACCATCTCTCCCCGGACGCTTCCACCTGAGAGCGTGACAGGAGCAGGCTGCAGAGAGCACGGGTGTTAGGACAAAGGTAAACACAGGGTGGCAGTATAGATCTACACATTCATTCATTCACAGGGTCATCTGTCAACTCTACTCCACACTCCTCTGTGCGTAGTAAAGTTTCAGTGTGTCTTTAAAGGTCCCATATTGGTCAAAACTGACTCCTGTGCGGCTTTATAATGTTGTTACTTCAATCCAATCCATTTTATTTCTATAGCACATTTCACAAACAAACGGTTCCCAAGTGCTGCACAAATACATATAAATAACAACAATAATAAAATGATAAAATAAAATGCTCAGATTTAATCATATAGTCTTAAAATAATAAAACCAGTAAAATAAAATAAGCAAAATCACAGAATAGCAATAAATAAATTAAATCATTAAAATGCATTAAAAATAAATAAAATAAATAAAAGACACAGAGGACCACACAACTCACGTGGTGTTAAAAGTCAGAGAATAAAAAGTGGGTGTTAAGACGAGACTTCTTCAAAAACAGACCTGGAGTTGTGTTTTGTTTCATTCACACATGTTTGAGTAACACTTTATAATTAGTCTGTCTGCATTTCCAAAGCTCAAAATGCTCTGTTCCACTTTGTGATGTCATGAAGCGTTACTTTTCATGTTAACGTTTACCTTTTTACCTTTAGTTCAGCAGAGTGGAGAACTTCTTGTACTACCACATGACATCACAGGGAGTGTTTTGAGACAAGAACTCAGCCTAAATCTGCAGGGTTTGTGTGTTAAACACGTGTGAATGAAACAAAACACAACTTCGGGTCTGTTTGTGGTGAGGAAACAACAATTATAACATAGATCAGGCTGAGTTCTCTAAACAGAAAACACTCCGTTCCACCTTGTGATGTCATGTGGCAATACGGGAAATGCTCCACTGTGTTTT